AACGTCAAGCTTTGCTACAACTGCGGGCGCTCCAAACTGTCGGTGCTCTAGTTCGGTCCGTGATTACGGCGGCGCAAGGGGGTTCTTCTCCCCCAGCGGAACCTGGAGATGCACTTTCGCCTGCTCAACTTGTGGTTGCTACACGGTATCTGGATGACAATTACCAACTTTCTGCAGAGCAGCGCGAGCTCGTGGTCTGGATGTTACACAACCCAGGTTCTCTTTTGGAAGGCGACGCAGAGGACGATATCGCTCTCCCTGTATTCGGTACCGAGGTCACGTTCCACGATGACGGAGAAGTGGGGGTGGACGAGCTCATGGTGGCACAGGCCGAAGCGGAAAGTTTGGAAGTGCCTGACGTGGACGCTTGCAGCATGCACGATGTTGAGGACGATGTCGGAGAATGAAGGTCAAGATGCTTTCAATCAACTTATGGCTGCACAGATTATCGCCGCCACTGTGGGTGAAGCGCCTTCTGCTGGTACGGCGGCAGCGTCCTTGCCTGGTCACGACGTCATTCCAGCGCCCGCGGAAGCTGCTGTGGACGATGCTCGGCTACCCGTACCTCCGCCAAGCGGCTCAGCTCCTTCATCGGCGCGCGCGTCTGGCACGTCTGCTCGGTGGGATAGTTTTCGGCCCAGCACGATGCGCATCGTCTCTTTGCTGATTGATCGGCTGCTGCCAGATTTGCCGTCGTCACCTTCAACTCTCTCTTCTTCCTTAACGTGGCTTCTAGAACATCCTCCTGGTGATTGGGACGGCGCACCGCTTCCTCATGGTGTGTACCACGAGCAACGTACTCAGGCTGTGCTGCTGCTCCACCACCTGTTTCCGAGCCCGACGGAGTCCGCGATCGACTTCATCACGACGGTGCTGGATAGGCCGCAGCTTCTTCTTCGAGATCATCATGCTGATGCGGATATGCCTGGTGCTTCGGGGCCCTCTGGCGCTGCGGTTCCTGCAGGCGGTGAGGGCGAAGCTGGCTTGCCTGGTGTGTCCTCGGGCTCCGATGCCTCTGTCTCGCCCGACGGCTACGAGATCGACGCTTTGGCTGCAATATGGGATCCGCTGGTCAATGATGGAGCTGATCCGCCTTCTGACGTCGAGTTCGACGACCGCAATCACACCGACGAGTGCGGCATAGGCGAGCCCTCACATCCTTCTGATGCTCTTCGACCCGAAGGTGAAGGACTATCGCATGCTAGTGGTGAAGTCCATCCCGGTCGTCGTGATGGTGGAGATCTTGTCCTTCGCGATCAAGGTGTCGTGCATGGGGGTGGTGGTCACGACCAAAAGCCTCTCCCTGAAGGCGCTGGGCTCCATGGTGAACACGCTGTGCACCAAGGTGGTGAGCTTCCTGCGGGTCAAGGACAGCATGGTATGCAGCCTGAGCCTGCTCCTGTCCACCCTGTACCTGGTGCTGCTGGTGATCTCCCACCAGTTGAGGAACTTCATGACGGAGAGACCGTCGCTGCCGCCCTGGACGAGGTCGGCGGCTTCATCGACACTGAGCTGGCCGACGGCGCGCGCGTCGGCGCCGAGGGCTAGGCGCGGGCGGCTGACAGGACCGCGCCCCCCTCCGAGGCGTGGGCTCCTCCTCCTCCTCCCCCCCCTCCTCCTCCTCCTCCTCCTCCTCCTCCTCCTCCTCCTCCTTCTCCACCAAGTGGAACCGGAAGACCGCCCTCGGGAGTTCCGTCATCTGTCGGGGGAGTTTGCCAGGAGCTTGCCAGGAGCTTGCCGGGGTATCCTTCGCCAAGGGACCTCCAAGGACAGCCCCGCGCGCGCGAGCTAGAAATGCTTTTAATTTGCTGCCAGAGATCTTCGTACGCCTCTGGCCCGTTGGGCTGGCGAATTCCAAACTCTGCTCCATTATATTATGCTCTACTCTGCTTTACTCTACCCTGACCTGTTCGACTCTGTTCTACTATAGTCTACCCTAAGTTAATGTTACTCTAGTTTCTGTCTTCCTACTTGACTCGACTCTCTCTCTCTCTCTCTACTCCACTCTGGTCTACTCTACTCGGCTCTCTTCTACCCGACTCTACTCTACCATCCACCCAACTTTGCTCTACGTTATTCTCATTCGACCCTGTTGGATTATGCTCCTATCCTTATTCCTCATTGGTCTAAACTCCCACTCTGCCACCTAGCCAGCCGATGGCAACAAGATTTGTGTGGTTCCACTTTATATGCTAAGATCAGAACCGATACATCGACGTTGCGCAGTCCATTCTGCAAAACGCACTGCAGGAAGGAGGCGGAGCACACGTCCCGCGCGAAGGGCCGAAATGCCACTCTCGCCACGGCGTCGCGCTCCCTTTTTCTTTCTGCAGGCCCAGAAAACAGGGGAAAGGATTGGGCATTCCGCTCTTTGCGTCTGCTTCTTTGTGTGCCTCGGGGCCCCTTCCGATGGAGCTCCCGCTGGGGCGCGGCGCCCCCTGCTCGCAAGCGAAGCGCCTCGTCGGCGCGCTCGCGGGCGAGGAGGCCGCCCTCGCCCCGGCGCCGCGCAGAGGTGTCGCTCGGAATGTTGGCGCCCCCGCCTCGACGCGGCCCGCACGCGTTCCGGAGGGGAAAAAAACACACAGACACAATTCTCAAGCAGTGGCGAAGCGTCCTGGCTCGCCTATAGCCCCACCAAACAATGTTCTGAGAACCGCTTGTGGTGTCCACGAAATGTTCTCAGAACATTTCTGGCAGGGTCTGTGTTGTTTTAGCACATCGGGTTTCTGTTCTAAGAACGTTGCTTTCGTTCTCAGAACATTCTCGGGTTCTAAGAACATTTCGTTGTATGACTATAGGAATGCCGGGACGGTCGGTCCCTACTCAACAACGGATCGTTGATCCCCCGGAAAGTATGGGAAAGCATGGGCAGCGGGGGGAGGACGCCAGAAGCCCAGAACATCGGGGAAAATATGTATGGGGGAATCCAATTTGCTTTGTTTGCGCGTCTTGACTTGTGTGTCCAGGCCCCTTCAGCTGTTTCTCGGGGAAGCTTTGGGTGGGGGGGCCCGCGCGAGCGGGCGGCGCGCCGCCCTCGTCGCCCACCGCTCCACGCGCGCAGGTCGCGGAAGAGCCGCGCCTCCCAGGCGCGGGCGCCGGGCAGGCGCCGCTCCCGCCGACCTCGCAAAGAGAGACAGAGAGAGAGAGAACCACGGGCGGCGGCGGGGCCGCGCGCGGGCGGGCGCGATGCCGACCCCGCCCGGGCGCTGCGCCGCCCGCGATCGCGCGGCGCACGCCTCGCCTGTGCGGCGCACGCCTCGCCTGCGCGGCGCCCCTCGGGCGCACGCCTCGAGCGCCCCTCGGGCGCCCCTCGAGCGGCAGCGCCGTGCCCGCGCGGCGCACGCCTCGCCTGCGCGGCGCACGCCTCGCCTGCGCGGCGCACGCCTCGCCTGCGCGGCGCTCGCCTTCGCCCGAAGAGGCACCCAGGAGGCCCCAAGAGGCCCCCAATAGGCCCCGAAAGGCCCCCATGAGACCCCCACGAGGCCCCAAGAGGCCTCCTAGAGGGCAAAACAACCCCAACGGCTTCAGACCTGCCCTCAGTAGGCCTCCTGGCAGGCCTCGACGAGCAACCAAGAGGCCTCAGACCCACCACCCAGGCACGGTGGCGGGAGAGGCCGAAGGCCATTAGGTATGGGCCGGCGGAATGAGCGAACCGATCCGACGCCCCACCGGGTACAGTGTGTGAGATCCTCCGCGTGGTCTGCAATGACTGACTGCTTTCTGTAACTCCTTTCACCAGCGCGTTTTTCATACCTACCCCTGCTTCTGGGTCCTCACCACCCCTCCTAAGGTCCCCCCCCGCGCGGCCCGCTCATTCCGCCGGCCCGAGGACCCGGGCTGCGGCTGGGGCGTCCTCTGGCCACCGCTTCCGTCCCCAAAGGTTCCCCCCCTTTCACGCGCTGGGCTTCCGGGCGCCACCACGCCCTCTCAGAGGCCTCCCTGGGAGCCTATCGGGCCAGCTTTTGGGGCCTCTCGGGGCCCTTTCTGGGCTGATCTTGACAGTCCTTCGGGCCTCCTCGGGCTGTCCCAGAGGCCTCTCCACCTCTGCTCGAGTCACATACTCGAGAAAATCCCAACGAACAAAAAACATGGCAAAACACATCAAATGTTGACGATTCTGGCCTTCTCGCGCTTCACCTTGCGCCTCTCTTCGAGCTCCCGTGCATCGCCGCGGGCTCTTGTGGCTATCTTGGAACATGCGAATGCTCTCTGCGGCCGTCCTCACAGCCTCTCGGGGCCCTCCTAGGCTGTCTGGGCGCCTTCTCGGTGCATCCCCAGAGAGCTCCCGGGACTCCCTCCAGTAGCCAGAAAGCTAACTGGGACTACTTTTTCCCTCGCCCGTGTCCGTCGTGCGCCCCACTCCTTTGATAGGTGCTTTGCAGCATGGCCCCGAGAGGCTCCCCAGAACTCCCACGGAGAGCCCGAGAGACCCCCAGGAAGGCTCCAAGTAGGGCCCCGAGACGCCCCAACAGGGCACGACCTCTCGGGCGCCGTCTTGGCCCCCCCCTCCCACGACCTCCACGATCCAAAAGTGGTGGGGCGGCGGTATCTGTCCCCTCAGCGTTCAATCAGATAATGGCGCAGAGTCGAGTGGAGAATCGTAGATGCGAGCAGAACTAAATGGGAGGAATATCTCAGAGTCGTGGATCATGGAGCATACATAGTCGGAGTAGAGAAGAGTAGGAGTGACTGAGGTATATGTGAGAGAGAAGGAGAAGAGTGAGAGAGAGAGAGAGCGAGAGAAAGAGAGAGAGAGAGAGAGCATAGAGTAGGATGATAGTATAGGAGAGTCGAGCAGAGCAGGGTATATGGTAAGGTAGAGTCGGGTGGAGTAGACTAGAGTAGAGCAGAGTCCACCCCAGTCCAGTCGAGTCTTGTCCAATCCAGTCTACTTCAATCCACTTCGTGTCGGTCTTCTGATCCTACCTTTTGAGTACGCGCTGGCTGATCTGTTTATGCCTCTGTTTCTTCCCTGAGATGAGGACGACGCCCCCAGGAACCAGGGCGCACGCCGCGATCGTCAGGTCGCTGAGCGTCGCCTCCGCATAGTGCGCCCCGTCCACGTGGAACAGGCGGAAGCCGCCGTCCTTGCCCGCGCGGAGCGCCAGGTCCACGTCGAGGAGCCCCAGGCTGCTGCGCCGCACCACTTGCACGTCGCGCTGTGGTATTCGCAGGTACCCCAGCAAGTTCAGGAACATTGGCAGGTTCACCTCTTGGGGGAACAAATAGCTGGTAGCATAGACTTTCGGCGCCGCGCGTGGATTTCTGGGATCAGCGCTGGGCCCTCTGGCGGCGCCTCCAGCGCCGCCCCTGGCGAAATCCACGCGGAGCTCCGCAAGGTTCAGTGTATTTGGTTATTATGTCTTGGACCTCTGGAACATTGTCTCGCTCAATTCCCGTCTTGAAGAGGTCACAAGCGAGAAGGCTCTCGTTCCCGCGCCTCGCGAAAGCCAGGGCCGCGAATGACTTCCCGGCGGCCACCCCGATCTCCCCGATGGCGCCGGTGATCCCCAGAGAGCACTGCACGAGCGAGACAAGGTGAATGAAGTACACAGTGCTGAGCCCGATGAACCCCTGAACCCCAGACCCCCGACGTAATGATTTTTTCATTACGTCGCCCTCCAGAGGTCCCGACCCTTTCCCCATGACCGGCTTTGCATCCCGAGTCGTTTTTTGACGCTCCCGAGGCCCGGTGAGGGCCCCCGGAGGCCGAAAATTAGGAAAAACCTCCCGTCGTGATTTTTTCAGTGCTCGAGGGGGTCTGGGACTCTGGACGCGGCCGGGAGGTCTGCGCTGCACGGGCTCCGAGAAAATTGGGACGACGGCGCATCCGCTCGAAGTCGGTCCCCGGGCCCCTCCCAGGGCCGACGCTGGCAGGTCTGTCGAGCCGTGCTCCGCCGTGGCGACGCCGGGGCCCTTTCTGCGCCCTTTCTGGTTGCCGGAGCCAGTGTTATATGCCGGGCGTGTCCCCCCACATGGGGATCTTCGACGAAAAATCAAAAAAATACACCAAAAATGCCGCCCAAAGGCCAACAAATACTTGAAAAATCGTCCCCAGACTATTTTTGGAGTATTTTTGGACCATTTCGGGAACACTTCTTATTTTTCATTTTTCGTCGAAAATCCTCCTGCAGGGGGACACGCCCGACATGAAGCCAATGCTGGGCAACCTGGGCCCCCCAACCGACTCCAGCCTGAATCGACTGCCAGTTCCGCAAGAAGAAGAGAAACTCCGACGCGGGGAACGCGCTCGGCTCGCAGTGCCCCCGCCTCGCCGCCCTCGCGAAGGACACGTTGCAGGCGCGAGGCCGCAGATAAGCGTCCGGCTCCTCCGCAGAGCTCAGGCCCATACGACACGGGGTGCGACCTCTAAGGGGGCGCTGCTGTGCTCTGGAGGGTGCGCTCGAGCAACAACGGCTAGTCACGGAGGACGACGAGGACGAGGAGAACGGAGAGGAGGACGACTGCGTCTCGGCGAAGCGCAGCGCGCGCAGCACTGGCGAATTGCCGAGGCACGGCGGCTTCCGCAAGCCGAAGTGGGGCAAGGGCACGATACGCGAGCACAAGGGTAAGTAAGACGGGGAAAGGGAGGAGGGGGGACGAGAAAGACGAGGCGAAGGAAGAGGAGGAGGATTAGGCTGATGGTCAGCACCGGGAGGGGTGACAAAGGGGATGGTGACGAGGCGAAGGACGATGAGGGTGCTGGACATGTAATGTTCGAATTGCGCTGATGCCTGGAAATGCATCTGGCTCCTCGTGCTCCCTGACTCTGTGGTAGCGACTAGGCTCATCATAACCAATACAGATGGACAATTGCCGCTCCGCGCGCCAGCGAGGGGGGTCCAGCCCAGATCCAAGAAATCCGCGCGGACCTTCAAAAGTTTATGTTTATGCCGATTTGGGCTGCGCCCCTAGGGGCAGGATCCCTAATGAATTACAGTGTGTCCGCACCCCCCCAAGGCCAAAATCCATGGTAAATTACGCTGCGTCCGCGCTTCCAGGGCCACGATCCGTAGTACATTACACTGGGTCCGCGCTACGGCCACGATCCCTCATGAATTGCGCTGCGTCCGCTCTCGCTGGGTCACGATCCCTGGTGAACTATGCTGCGTCCGCGCTCCCAGGGCCGCGCTCCCTCGTGAATTACGCTGTGTCTGCGCTCCCCAGGCCACGTTCCCCAGTATATTACGCTGTGTTCGGGCTCCCAGCACCACCTGGGCATCCTGGGGCGCCCAGGTCGCTCAAGTTCTGCAGAACAAGCGTTTCGATCGACCCTTCCACAGATATTCGGCGCGCAGGGCGCGCCATCCTCGAGCGGGCACGCAAACATGTTTTTCCCAATATCCTGTGGTGTTGGGTCCCCGTTTTGAAGAGACAGCGCCCCGGGTCACTCCTCCTCCTCCCGTCTCCTCTCCTCTCCTTCTCCTCCCCCTCCTCCCTCCTCCCATCCGCCTCGTCACCTCCCTGCGTTTCGCCCACCCAGTACAGCGTTTCGTGGCCCCATAGGGAGCTCCAACAAAGGCTCCAGTGGCACAGGCCGCAGGCGTCAACGCCACCCAGGACAGCGTTTCGTGACCCCATAGGGAGCTCCACCGAAGGTGCGCCAGGCGACGTGCCAGGGGACGTGCCATGGGGACGCACCGCGGGACGTGCCAAAGTGACGCGCTACGGAACGTGCCGCTGGACGTGCCGCGGGACGTGCCAGGGGACTCGCCGCGCGACGTGCCAGGGGGATTCGCCACGGGACGCGCCACGGAACGTACCAAGGAACGTGCTAAGTTGCAATGCTAAGTGTATCGATCTTGATGTACCGTGCCGAGGGCTGTGCTGTGCTGCGCAGTGCTGAATAGCGATGTGCCATGCGGAGATTGTGCACTATAGCGTTGTGGATCGAGTCCTCATTTGCATCCGAGTCCTGACCGAACTGATCTGGATCTTCTGCTCGAGCTGCCTGAGCACATCGTATCTGCCCCAGAGCTAATCAACAGGGGGACATGCCAGCAGGACGCGCCGCGGAACATCCCAAGGGACGCGCCCGGCGACGTGCCAAGGGACGTGCCACGGGGACGCGCCGCGGGACGTGCCGAGGGGACGCACTACGGAACGTTCAAATACGTGGTCCTTGCTCGGGGCAATCATGTTAGATATCCCCTTGGATGGCCTGGACACCTAAGAACACATGGTGCCAGCTCGGGAAACCATGTTAGATACACCCCTGAATAGCCAGGACAAGTTAAAACACGTGGTCCTTGCTCAGAACAATCATGTTAGATACCCCGCTGGGTGGCCTGAAAACGTAAAAACAAATTGTTCAAGCTCGGGACAACCATGTTAGATATCCCCCTGGGTGGCCTGGACATGTAAAAACATATGGCTCCAGCTCGGGATCGCCATGTTAGATACCCCCCTGGGTGGCCTGCACACATCAAAACACGTGGTCCAGCCCACCCAGGGGGGATATCTAACATGCGGTCGTCTGGAGCGCAGGAGGGCCCAGGAACGCCCAGAGGCGCCTGGAGGCCAAAAAGTCAATGAATCGATACCAAATACAAATAAACTCTCGACGCTCCGTTCCGAGTCCCAGGACGGATCCAGGTGGCGTGGACACGTGAAAACACGTGGTTCCAGCTCGGGACCACCATGCTAGATACCTCCCTGGGTGGCCTGGACACGTGAAAACACACGGTTCCAGCGCAAGACCACCATGTTAGATACCTCCCTGGGTGGCGTGGACACGTGAAAGCATGTGGTTCCAGCTCAGGACCACATGTTAGATACCCCCCTGGGTGGTGTGGACACGTGAAAACACGCGGTTCCAGCGCGGAGCCACCATGTTCGATACACCCTCTGGGCGACCTGGGCACGTGAAAACACGTGGTTCCAGCGCGGGACCACCATCTTAGACACCCCCTGGGTGGCCTCGACAGGTGAAACACGTGGTTCCAGCTCGGGACCAACACGTTAGATACCCACCTGGGTGGCCTGTACACGTGAAAACACGTGGCTGCAGCGCAAGACCACCATGTTAGATACCCCCCTGGGTGGCCTGGACACGGGAAGCGACGTGGTTCCAGATCGGGCAGAACAAATTAGATGCCCCCCTTGTGTGGCCAAGGAAATCTTAGAAAAACAAACGGATTAGTCGAGACATCGGATTAGTCGAGACATCCTCGAAATTCGTGCGCGCGGGACGCGGCACGCGCGAGACATCCTCGGAATTCCTGCGCGCGGGACGCTTTTCCGCGTCGCAGTCAGGGCTCCAGACCTCGGTTTTGTAAAGGATTCTGCTAAAAATGCCCCGCCCTCTTTTTTACGAAAGAAAGCGGTGGTCCGCGGGGGCAAACTTTCCTCGAGCTCAGCTGTCTACGCCCGGGGGGGGCGGCCCGGAAACGGGCGACAGGCGTGCTTAGCACGTTGGCCCTTCGACGAAAAGGACCAGTGCAACTGCTGCGAATGACATCGTGCGGGGAAATTCAGCAGCCAAGCGCTGCTGCGAAGAAGCGAAACACAACCAAACGCTGCTGCGAAGAGGCCAAATACCCACCGCAAGATGACGGCAAAAGATGGATGCTCCAGGCAGCCTCGGGCGATCAGAACAACTCGAGCTCCGGGCTGGGTTCGCGAACCTTATACTCTGGCACCCAATCGGTGACGAACCCGATGTTCTCTTGCCCAACCACTTCAGCGGTCTGGTTGTAGCAAAAGTGCCCGCAATCGCGGCCGTAGGGTCCAGGGTGGCCGTTGAAGCAATCGCCTTTGCCGACAATCCGCTGCCATGGATCAAAATACTTCCCAGGCATAACCTGCATGACATCGTTCACACACACACGAGGGTCTTCTGGATCATATTTAGTTTTGTCCCGGGTTCTTTGACAATGCGAGTAGAAGTTGAATTTGTCATAATTCACCGTGGGCCACTCGTTGATGTACGATTTGTAGGTGGCGTCGAAGCGCAGCATCACTATCACCCTGTACTTCTCGGGATCGTGCAACTTGAACTCCTTCACTGTTCGGGTCATGCTGTCAGACTGCGATTTTCCCTGGAAGCTCGATTGAAAGCGCAGGCGAGGTCCAAGCATGCCAACAATGCGCTCCAACATGCTACAATTTGAACTTTCGAAGAGGTATATGTCCACATTGTGCGAAGCCGCTTCGAATGGCAATACTATCTTATCCATCGCCGACTTCGTCATCAACAATTGTTTCTTAACTGCCTCTGGTTCAGAATTACATGAACCGCCCCACATCCCGCTGCCCCGAAACACTTGCCCCCGGAACAACACGGCAACACGGCTGCCGTGTGGCAGCGCGGCAAAAGACTCGTATCCGTGCCTTGTGTCAGGATCGAGTACACCGTTGCGTGACAGCGTGATGGCGAATCCTGTCCCAAGGAAGACAGCAAAGGTCAACACAATGAAAGAGCTGCACATTTGAGTTGCAGAACGCATGCTGATACAGTACTTATGCAGAGCGCATTCATGAAGCTTGGTACCAAGCGTGATTTGAGCCAGAATGGCTACGAATGTGTCTTAGGCGGCCTTCGGGTCCTCTTGGGGGTCTCTCTTGAGCCGTCTTGGGGTGATCTGAAGGGCCACTTGGATCGCAATGGACTGTGATAGTTCTCAGCAGACGAACTCGCTAAACATGTCGCTCTCTTTAGGGAGTGGGGGCCGAGGGAGCAGGAGAGGGATGAATGAAGGGGCCCTGGGACACACAAATAAATACACACAAATAACATGATTCCCCATATTTTCACATATTTTCTGAGTTTGTGTCTTCCCGCCCAATTCCCATATTTTCCCATACTTTCCTGGGACTCGACGATTAATTCTGTCTGTGTGTTTCTTTCCCTCCTGAATGAAAGAGGAGGGAGGTGGGAGGGAGAGGAAGTGAGGAAGAGGGAAAGCCAAGCCAACCCGGTCATCCTGGGTCGGTGTGCGGGGCTTCCTGGGCCACCCGTCGCTGGGCTGTGGGCCAGGGCTCTCTTGTATGTGCCTCCTCCTCCTCCTCCTCCGCATCCTCCTCCTCCTCCTCCTCCTCCTCCTCCTCCTCCTCCTTCGGGTCTCTCTCGGGGCAGCTCTGGGCAATCTTTCGGAACCAATGTCGAGGCCCGTGGGGCCACTTGGGGTGCCAGTCGAAGGGGATGGGCAGGGAGGGAGGCAGAGTGGGGGCGGCGGAGAGGAAGGGTGGGGATGGGACTGCAGACAGAGAAAGAGAGAGAGAGAGAGAGAGAAAAAAGAGAGCGAGAGAGAGATAGACAGAGAGAGAGAGAGATAACATACATGTGTGCATATATATATATATATAGATGTATATATATATACATATGTATATATATAGAGAGATAGAGAGATAGAGAGAAAGAGAGAGAGAGTGAGAGAGAGAGAGAGAGTGAGAGAGAGAGAGAGAGAGAGTGAGAGAGAGAGAGAGAGGACGAGACAGAGAGAGAGAGAGAGAGAGAAAGGCAGGGAGCGGTAGGAGTGGGTGAGGGAGAGGGAGCAACGGGGAGGGTGGGACGGGGGGGGGCGGCGGGGAGTGAGGGAAAGCGAGGCGAAAGGTGGGGGATCGAGGCGTTGGACTGAGGGAGGACAAGACAGGACGGGGACAGGACAGGGCGCCGAGTACGTGCCGTGCGCTCTCGCGGCCGCGTGCCCCTGGGGGCCCAGCGGAAGTTGCTCGGCCCATCTCGACAGCGGGCGTTCCCGGGCTCTGCGGCCGTCAGGATCCCCGCCTTCTCCTCCTCCTCCTCCTCCTCCTCCTCCTCCTCCTCCTCCTCCGTTTTGCGCTCTGAGGGAGGGGCGAGAAGAAAGAGTGGGCAGAAGAGGGAAGGAAGGAAAGAGGAGGTCATCTGGCAGGCGCCGTCGCGGGAAAAGAAGACTCGCTGCACGCCCTTTGCCAGGGGACACCGTGAAACAACAGGGACCGCAACGCGGAGAGAACATGATCGACCCACGAACCCGGAGAGGGATATGGAAATGTGAAGCATGGCAACGTTTTCAAGACACCTCATTGTGCGACGGGCAATTGCAATGCTGAGTGTATCGATTTTGGTGTGCCGTGCCCAGGGCTGTGCTGTGCTGTGCCGTGTTGAACTGCGATGTGCCATAACGCGATTGTGCCCTATAGCGTTGTGGATCGAGTCCTTCTTTGCATTCGAGTCCTGACCGAACTGATCTGGATCTTCTGCTCGAGCTGCCTGAGCACATAGTAACCGCCCAAGAGCTAGTTGAATTTGAAACGTGGAAGACGTTCCATCAACTCGACCTCACAATCCGACTCAGCCCCGAAAAGGAACGACACGATACGGGGCACAGGCTCACGGACGCGCCATAGGATGTGCCAGGGGCGCAATAGGGGATGCGCCAGGGGACGTGTCAGGGGACGTATCAAGGGACGTGCCCTGGATGTGTCAGGGACCTGCCACAGGACGTGCCAAAGCGCGTGCCATGGGGCGGCCAGAGGACGTCGTGCCAAAGGACGCTGAAAGGAGCCCGCCACGGAACGGGCAGGGGAAACGCTTGGGGACGAGCAAGGAAACGCGACAGAGGACGAGCCAGGGAACGTGCCTCGCCGAGTGGCGTGCAAGGGGACATGCCAGGGCACGTCACGCCAGAACGTGGCAAGGGACGCACCAGGGGGCGCGCCAGGGCGCCAGGGGACGCCCCACGGATGGGCGGGGTTGGACTGCGACGCACTCCACTGCGACAAGCGTTTTGCTCGAGACATCCTCAACAATCCTCATGTTAGACATCCGCCTGGGCGATCTGGACACGTGAAGCCAAGCGTCTCGCTCGAGACGTTCTGAACACATCCTCCTGCTAGAAATCTGCCCGAGCGACCTGGACACGTGACATCCTCGAAATCCCTGCGCGGGTCTCCATACCTCCCAACCATCCTGTGGTGTTGGGTCCTCGTTTTGAAGAGGCAGCGCCCGCTCCCGCTCCCGCTCCCGCTCCTCCTCCCCCTCCTCCCTCCTCCCTCCTCACACCATCATCATCGTCATCATCCTCCATATCGGCACACCCCTCACACGTTTCGTGGCCCCATATGGAGCCCCACCGAAGGCCCCAGTGCTGCCGCCCGCATGCGTCCCGCATACCCAGTTCGGCACACCCCTCACACGTTTCGTGGCCCCATAGGGAGCCCCACCGAAGGCCCCAGTGCTGCCGCCCGCATGCGTCCCGCACACCCAATTCGGCACACCCCTCACACGTTTCGTGGCCCCATAGGGAGCCCCACCGAAGGCCCCAGTGCTGCCGCCCGCATGCGTCCCGCACACCCAATTCGGCACACCCCTCACACGTTTCGTGGCCCCATAGGGAGCCCCACCGAAGGCCCCAGTGCTGCCGCCCGCATGCGTCCCGCACACCCAATTCGGCACACCCCTCACACGTTTCGTGGCCCCATAGGGAGCCCCACCGAAGGCCCCAGTGCTGCCGCCCGCATGCGTCCCGCACACCCAATTCGGCACACCCCTCACACGTTTCGTGGCCCCATAGGGAGCCCCACCGAAGGCCCCAGTGCTGCCGCCCGCATGCGTCCCGCACACCCATTCGGCACACCCCTCACACGTTTCGTGGCCCCATAGGGAGCTCCACCGAAGGCCCCAGTGACCGCATGCGTCCCGCACACCCATTCGGCACACCCCTCACACGTTTCGTGGCCCCATAGGGAGCTCCACCGAAGGCCCCAGTGCTGCCGCCCGCATGCGTCCCGCACACCCAATTCGGCACACCCCTCACACGTTTCGTGGCCCCATAGGGAGCCCACCGAAGGCCCCAGTGCTGCCGCCCGCATGCGTCACGCACACCCAATTCGGCACACCCCTCACACGTTTCGTGGCCCCATAGGGAGCCCCACCGAAGGCCCCAGTGCTGCCGCCCGCATGCGTCCCGCACACCCAATTCGGCACACCCCTCACACGTTTCGTGGCCCCATAGGGAGCCCCACCGAAGGCCCCAGTGCTGCCGCCCGCATGCGTCACGCACACCCAATTCGGCACACCCCTCACACGTTTCGTGGCCCCATAGGGAGCTCCACCGAAGGCCCAAGTGGCGGCGCTCACATGCGCATGCGTCCCGCACACCCATTTTGGCACACCCCTGACAGGTTCCGTGGCCCCATCATCCACCGGAGGCCCCAGTGGCGGCGCTCACATGCGTCACCCACACCCACCCAATTCGGCACACCCCTCACACGTTTCGTGGCCCCATAAAGAGCTCCACCTAAGGCCCCAGCGGCCGCGCTCACATGCGTCCCCGCCACCCATCCCGGCACGCCCCTCACAGCAACAGGTTCCGTGGCCCCATAGGGAGCTCCACCGAAGGCCCTAGTGGCACCGCCCGCATGCGTCACCACCCGCTCCCAATTCGGCACACCCCTCACACGTTTCGTGGCCCCATAAGGAGCTGCACCGAAGGCCCCAGTGGCGGCGCTCACATCCGTCCCCGCCACACATCCCAGTACACCCCTCACGCGCTTCGTGGCCCCATAGGGAGCTCCACCGAAGGCCCCAGTAGCGGCGCTTACATGCGTCTCCGCCACCCATCCCGGCCTCCCCCCCCCCGCAGCAGCATCATGTTTCGGGGACCCATAGGGAGCTCCACTGGAGGCCCCAGTGGCGGCCCTCACATGCGTTTCCGCCACCCATGTCGGCACGCCCCGCGCGTGTTTCATGTCCCCATAGGGAGCTTCGCCGAATGCCCCAGTGGCACCCATCTCGGCATACCCCTCACACGTTCCGCAGTCCTATGGGGAGTTCCACTGAAGATGAAACCCGCAGCTGCGGTACTGACAACTGCATATGGTTGGGTTCTTCGCCAGGCTAATTTTTATCATGGACTCTGCGCGTGACCCTCCGCACACGGTTTTTTTACGAGAGACAAGGGGTGTCTCTCTTGGGCCGTCTTGTCGCTCTTCTGTGCCGCTCGAAGCTCTCTTTAGCCCATCTTGGAACCCTTTTTGGGGACTCAGGGGCCGTCTGGGGCCCATTTGGGTCGCCTCCTGGGCCGTCGCGACCGCTGGCAGAACTGGCAAGCGGAGCCCCCAGAAAGCTAACGCTCTCCCGTGGGAGGTGCTCGATTTCTGCCTTGGGAGGGCTCTCTCAGCGGCCTCTTGGGCAGTCGTCTGGCCATCGCTCGGACGTCCATTTCCTGTGTTTTTTTTCGGTTTCGTGCGTGTTTTTTTCGCCAAATGGTCGAGGATGCTCCTCGAAGGTCCTCGCCGAGAAGAAAAATTCACACGTCCGAGCGATGCCAAGTCGTGGGGGGTCCTTTTGGGGGCCTTTCTGTGGGCCGTCTGGACTTCTGCACGTTGTGCCGGCGCGCCGCTCTCCCTGCGCTGCAGTCTGGCGCTCCCTCCCCCAGTCCTTCCGCCTGCCTGTCGGAGCTGTGCACTGGAGCCTGCCTTTTTCCCTCGCGCCCTTCGTGGGCCCGCCCATGAAGGGCGCGAATGAATGAATGAATGAATGAACCTTCGGGGTGAATGAATGAATGAATGAATGAATGAACCTTCGGGGTGAATGAATGAATGAATGAATGAATGAATGAATGAATGAATGAATGAATGAATGAATAAATGAATGAACCTTCGGGGTGGATGAATGAATGACTGTGGGCCGTCTGGGGGCCCCATTTCGGCTGTCCCAGGCCCTTCTTGGCATGTCATGGGTAGCCGAGCCGTCTTGGGGCCCTCATGGGCCCCTTCTCCGACCATGCGGGGGTCCTCCCGTGGCTCCCTCGGGCCCCCATGGGGACTCTCTCGGGCTGTTTTTTGAAGCTCCCTTGCGCTGCGCGACGCTCTCTCGAGGCTGCCTTGGAGCCCTCTTGGGGGCCTCGTGGACCGTGTGGCGCCGATTTGGGGAGCCTCGTGGGCCGACGTGGCCGCCGATGGAACATCAGAAGCGAATCTCATAGAAATGTGCGTTTTTTCTATAGGAAACGCAATTTTTTTGCACCCGGGAGCCTTGTCAGCGACCTCCTGGGCCGTCTTCAGGGAGTCCTGGTTGGCCTTTGTTGGACCCTCTGGGAGCCCAGTTCGGCCGTTCGGGGCCCCTCTTCGCCCGTCATGGGGACCTGAGCCTGTCGTGGGGCCCTCGGGGGGCCCTCGGGTGGCCCCCTCGGGGTTCCTGGGTACAATGCTCTCTTGGGCCGTATTGGAGCTCTCTTGTGCTGCTTGAAGCTCCCTTCGGGCCGTCTGGGGGCCCTCTTGGGGGCCTCTTGGGCCGTCTGTGGTTCATTTTGGGAGCCTCTGGGGCGGTCGCGGCCGCTGGTAGGAATGAAAAGCAATTATCCAGGACATGTGCGTTTTTCCACAGCAGATGCTTGACTCTTGCCCTCGGAGGGCCTTCTCGGCGGCCTCTTGGACCGTCTTGAATGCCTTTGTGGCCGTCCAGGAGCAGTCTCGGGCTGTCTTCGAGCGCTCGTGGCCCGTCCAGAAGCCATCTCCGTGCGCTCTTTACCTTCCACACAACCTGCAGGCGCCTTGGGCGCCTCTTGGGCCAGCGCGGGAGCGTGTGGGGGGGGTCTGGGGGCCACTTCCGAACCCTCTGGGAGCCCTCGAGGCCCCCCCGGCCCCCCGGCGCGAACCAGAGGTCGCAGTTCTGGGCTCTCCCCCAGCCTACTACGACGACGGCTGGCTGCCCTCTGCCCTGCGCCTCCGTCGCCGTCGCCGTCGTCGTCGTCGTCGTCGTCGTCGTCGTCGTCGTCGTCGTCGTCGTCGTTCGCGTCGTCGTCGCCGTCGTCGTCGTCGTTCGCGTCGTCGTCGCCGTCGTCGTCGTCCGCGGCCCCAATTGGACGACCCTTTCGCCATCAGCCTACCGGAAGATCAGGAGGAGGAGGAGGAGGAGGAGGAGGAGGAGGAGGAGAGGAGGAGGAGGGGAGGGGAGGAGGAGGAGGGAGGGAGGATGGAGGAGGAGGAGGAGGAGGGAGGAGGAGAGGAGAGGAGGAGGAGGAGGAGGAGGAGGAGGAGGAGAAGCTCGGGCACGCCATCGCCGCCGGAGGCCCTGGGAGGCCCTTTTCGCCATCCGAGAGCGTCCCGAGGTCGACCCGAGACGAGGGACCGGCCCTGGGTGGCCGCTCCGGGCCTTCCCGCTCCTGCCCCTGCTCCTGGCTTTTCTCTTCTCGTCCTCCTCCTCCTCCTCCTCCTCCTCCTCCTCTCCTCTCCTCTTCCTCTTCGTCCTCCTTCCTCCTTCGTCCCCCCCCCTCCTCATCCTCCTCATCCTCCTCCTCTTCCTCTTCCTCGTCCTCGTCCTCCTCCTCTTCATTTCCCGCCCCCTCCTCTCCTTTCTTAGGGGAACAAAAGTGACATAAACGTAAAAACTCGGAGGTCCGCGTGGGTTTCTCGGATCGGCGCTGGACCCCCCTCCCTGGCGCGCGGGGCGGCGCCGGAGGCACCGCCAGGGGGGTCCAGCGCGGATCCGAGAAATCCGCGCGGACCTCCGAGTTTTTATGTTCGTGTCACTTTTTGTTCCCCTATTTCTCCTCCGTCCCGTCCGATTGGCTCCCCGCCCTTCTCCCTCGGGAGGCGTCGCGGCGCGCGCGGGGCGCAGCGCCTGTCGCCCTATTCTCTCCCGCCCGTTCCGTTTCTCCATCTCCTCGTCCTGCTCCTCTCGTCCTTTCCCTTGTCTTTGTCCTTGTCCTCGCGGTGGTCTGGGGGGGCGGAGGCATAAGATATCGTGTTCCCTACAAGCTCTATGGGGAAATGAAGCGTTGGGCTGTCTCGGGGGGCATCTGGGGGCTTCCCTTCGGGGACCCGTGGGGACTTCCTGAGACCTCGTGGGGAGCTCATCCTTATCCTCAGCTTCGTCATCGTCATCGTAATCGCTATCGGCATCGTCGCCGTCATCATCATCATCATCATCATCATCATCATCATCATCATCATCATCATCATCATCATCATCATCATCATCATCATCATCATCATCATCATCGTCCACCTCAGCATCAACATCATCTTTAGCAGCAGCACCATCATCATCATCATCATCATCATCATCATCATCATCATCATCATCATCATCATCATCATCACGAGCGTCAACATCCACACCATCATTATCCTCCGCATCGTCATCATCTTCTTCATCACCAGCGTGGTCGTGGATATTGTCGTCAGCATCATCACAATCATCACGATCACCATCACCATCATCATCGCCACCTTCGTCATCATCATCGTCATCATCATAATCTTTTGGGGCTTCTAGGAAAATGCTTGAGGGCCCATTCGAGTCCTGCTTGACAGGCGCTTTGGGACAGATGTTGCGTGCGGGGAGCGGAAGCCTGAGGAATCATGTTATCGGAGAGCTTTCTGGTAACATGATGGCGTGTATGAGGGCCCATTCGGCGGCTGGCCGGCAAACATTTTGGGACGCATGGTTAGGGCTGGGGGCGGAAACCTGAGGAATCATGTTCCCGGAAGGCTTCCTGGGAACATGATTTGTTGGGGTGCCGTTGGGCGCCTCCGGAGGCTTCGGGGCCTGACGCGTTTCCGAGCGTGGCGGCAAATAGCGCTGCTCGTGACTCTCGTTTTTGTTTTTGTTGTTGTTGTTGTTGTTGTCCTGGCAGGTGTTTAAGGAACATGGTTTGGGCAGAGGGCGGCAACCCGAGAATCATGTTCCGGGAAGCTTTCGGGAGCATGATTTGTTCGGCTCTCTTAAGAGGGGGCCCTCTGGGGGCTTACCAAGGGGCCCCTTTTGGTCTTGTCGGCGAGCCTAATGGAAACATGGTTGGGGCGGTGGGCGGAAGCCCAAGGAATCATGTTCCCAGAAAGCTGTCTGGAAATACGATTTACCGAGGTGTCTTGGGGGCCCGCAAGGGGATTCCCTGGGGGCCCCTTGGGGCTTCCGGGGGGCCTCTTGGGAGCCTCACGGGGCTTCTTTGGAGCCTTTTGATGGCCTCTGGGTGCGTCCTAGGAGCGTCTCAAGCCAGAGACCTTGAAATGTCGCGCTCTTCGGGCCCTCTTGGGTCGCTCTTGGGCCTCTCTTGGGGCGCTCTCGAGGCCCTCTTGAATTATCTGGGGAGCCTCCTGGGCCGTCTCTGGGCTTTCTTGGGAGCCTCTTCGGCCGTCTTGGAGCTATCTGAAGGGCCTCTGACGCCGTCCGGGACTGTGGGGAGGCGGAATATATGAGAGCGCAAATGTGCTTCAAAAGCCATAGGAACATGTATGATTTTCTGCTTCTGGGGCCCTTTGGAGGCGCTCGTGGGGCGTTGTGGCGGCGTCGTCGGCCGTCCTGAGGCCATCTTCGGCGTGTCCGGGGCCTCCTGGTGCTGTCTGGGCAAACTTTAGGGCCCTCTTGGCGTGTCGTGGCGTGTTTGGGAGCGTGCCCGTCCCGGGAGCCCTGGGGCCCCCCATACCCCCATGGGGGGGTACGGCACCGGCCCGGCCCCCTCCCGGCCTACTCCGATGTACATACATACATACATACATACATACATACATACATACATACATACATACATACATACATACATACATACATACATACATACATACATACATACACACATACATACATACATACATACATACATACATACAACCATATACATTTATGTATAAGTGTATATATGCATCTGCTCATGCATGCATACATATACATACACATACACATACACATATACATATACATATGCATACACATATACATATACATATACATATACATATACATATACATATACATATACATACATACATACATACATACATACATATATATGCCTGTCTGTCTGTCCGTCTGTCTTTCTGTCTGTATGTAGGTCGGTATGTATGTGTGTCTGTATATATGCCTGTATGTATGTATGGGTGTATATATATATATATAGCGAGAGAGAGAGAGACAGAGAGAGAAAGAGAGATATATACATATAATTGAATACATACATACATATATACTAGAACCACGCGCGCGCTTCGCGCGCGCTTAGGTTCTAGTCCAGCCCATGGCGCTGTAATGAAACGGAGGTCGGGGTTTCCAGGCGACTCGCAATCGGAGAGGAGTTGTGTCCGTCGTGGGCCGGTTATGGGATGTCGCAGGGCTCCCTTGGGCTGGCTTTTGGGCTTTTCAGGCGCTCTTGTGGGGGGGGCAAGTGTTTGTGGCCCCGATGGCGCCGTCCAGGGTTGCCTCTTCGTTGTCACGACGCGCAGGTCTTGGCTTCTGGGTTCGTCGAGGAGATCGCTGAACAGTCTTGGGGCATTGACTGGCTTTATGATGAAATGTCGAGGCCGTAGGTTGCTGGTCTTTGGATGTCGTCACATGTCCTTGGCTTGTCTTGCCGAACATGTGCGGGAGGGACGAGGAATGACGGAGGACGAGACGAAAACTGCCCTGAAATAAAATGCACGCGCTGCCACGCCAGCTGGCGGAGCACGTGCAGAAGAAACTCAGAGGACGGATAACAAACTGCCTTAACACATAATGCACGCGCTGTCACGCCGGGTGGTGGAGCACTTGCAGGAAGATCGAAGAAAGACGGACGAAGGAGGAACACAGCCGTGCTATAAAATGCACGCGCTGACACGCCAACTGGCGGAACATGTGCAGGACGAAGGAGCGGTAACGGAACACGGAGAGAAAACCGCCTTGAAACGGCATGCACGCGCTGTCACGCCGGCTGGCGGAGCACGTGCAGGCGGGACGAGGAAAGACAAACAGGAGGCAGAAAGACATGGAAGAAACAGGAACTCTCTTGAGCCGTCTCGGGTCCTGCTGGGACGTGCCCAGACCGTTTTCGTGTTGTCTCCTCACGCTGTGATAGCTTACCAACCATGTTGGGGCATCTTGGGGCCCAGGTCTCTTTCGAAGTCTCTCGGAGACCAATCCCACCAGCCCTTTGGGCGTGAGTGGTTTAGCGAGCTCTCTCTGTTCTCAACCTCCTTCTTCCCCTTCGGGGAGGGGTTTACCCCTCCCCCTACCCCCTCCCCCTGGACCTGGAGAGGGAGTCCCGAGCGGTGGCAGGGGGGTCTTTTTCGACTGGGAGGGCCAAAAAACGATGACCCTCACGAGGATTCTGGCCCCGACGGGGGGACGGAGTTTGGCCCTTCTGCTCGTCTTTGAAGCCAAAATCATTGATTTTACTACGGTTTTGGCCCCATTTTGGCCTCCTGAGGGGGCCGCGCTCATCTTCCTTCATAGCAGAATCATTGATTTTACGAAGGTTTTGGGCTCATTTTGTCCTTCGCAGGGGGCAGCGCTCATTTGCGCTTCTGAGGAGGTCGCAAGAGGCCCCAAGATGGCCCCAAGAGGCCCCCAGGAGGCTCCCAAGAGGCCTCCAAGAGGCCCCCAAGAGGCCCCCAAGACGCCCCAAGAGGCCCCCAAGAGGCCTGTGTAGAGTGAAAATGCGGTAGGCGTCCTTTGGCCTTGCCGCAAGCTCCCCGGCCTTTGGCCGGGGCGCGCGGGGTCAGCCTGCTCGGAGGCCACCGTGGCAGATGGTTCTGCCTGCCGGCGCCTTGCCAGAGCTTCAGTCCACCCATCCGCCCCCCCCGGAGGAAGGAGGGGCGCCGACGGGGCCGCCGCCTCCGCCGCCGCCGCCGAGAGGAGGGGGGAGGAAAGGGCCGCCCGCCGCCGCTGCCGTCGCGACGTTGGCCGCGGACTGCAGCGCCGCGCCGTCAGCCTGAGGGCCATCAACGCTCACCCTGCGCGGGGGGGCCAGGGCCCCCCCGTAACGAGACACCGTCGGGACACCGCGCCAGGACACCAATGCGGCCGACCAGGGACCCCGCGCCCCGCCGGCCAGGGAGCCAGGGGGAGGAGGGGAAGACGGATGAGCTCCTTCCGAAGACGCTCTAGCACCGCCGGCCGCCGCCGGCCCGACTTCCGCGACGCCCCGCGGTAAAACTTCCGCCAGCGACCGCTGAGAATAATCCGCCGCTTCGTGCGCGAACGCTTCCAACCGCCACCGCCTTGGGGCGCTGGGGCCCCCCGTTCCGCTGCCTTGCAAAGCCTCCATGACCTGCAGGGCCAGCTGCGCCGCGGCGAGCTGCAACTGGGCCCGCCGGCGTGGGCTCGGGTCCGCGTGATAAGTAACCCAAGCAGACTTGGCCGTCACCCGAGGCTGAGCTCCTCACCACCCCTGGGGGACTGCCAGCGGCCCCTCCTCCAACGCCCTTCTGGCTTGGAGAAACCTCGGGCAGTCCGCCCAGAAATGGCTCTTGGGGGCCCCCAAGAGGCCCCCAAGAGCCTCCCCAGAGGCCCCCAAGAGGCCTCAAGAGGGCCCAACAGGCCCCCAAGAGGCTCCCCAGAGGCCCCCAAGAGGCCCCCAAGAGGCCCCAAGATGCTCCAAGACGCCCCCAAGAGACCCCACACCAGCCCTTTGGGCGTGAGTGGTTTAGAGAGCCCTCTCTGTTCTCAACCCCCCTTCTTCCCCTTCGGGGAAGGGTTTACCCCTCCCCCTACCCCCTCCCCCTGGGCCTGGAGAGGGCGCCCCGCGGGTCGTCAGGGGGGTCAATTTCGACTCCTGGGAGGGCTAAAAAACGACACCCCTCACGAGGATTCTGGCCCCGACGGGGGGACGGAGATAAGTCCCTCTCCTCTTCTTTGAAGCCAAAATCATTGATTTTACTACGGTTTTGGCCCCATTTTGGCCTCCTGAGGGGGCCGCGCTCATCTTCCTTCATAGCAAAATCATTGATTTTACGAAGGTTTTGGGCTCATTTTGTCCTTCTCAGGGGGCAGCGCTCATTTGCGCTTCTGAGGAGGTCGCAAGAGGCCCCAAGATGGCCCCAAGAGGCCCCCAGGAGGCTCCCAAGAGGCCTCCAAGAGGCCCCCAAGAGGCCCCCAAGAGGCCCCAAGAGGCCCCCAAGAGGCCCCCAAGAGGCCCCCAAGAGGCCCCAAGAGGCCCCAAGGCCCCCAAGAGGCCCCCAAGAGGCCCCCAAGAGGCCCCCAAGAGGCCCCAAGAGGCTCCAAGAGGCCCCCAAGAGGCCCCACGAGGAGCCCGAACGACTCACACCAGGACGAGGGGCCCGAACGACTCACACCACGAAGAGCCCCAACGACTCACACCACAAGGAGGGGCCCGAACGACTCACACCAGGACGAGGCGCCCGAACGACTCACACCACGAGGAGCCCGAACGACTCACACCACGACGCGGGCCCCGAACGACTCACACCACGAGGAGCCCGAACGAGTCACACCAGGAGGAGGGGCCCGAACGACTCACACCAGGATGAGGGGCCCGAACAACTCACACCACGAGAAGCCCGAACGACTCACACCAGGACGAAGAGCCCGAACGACTCACACCACGAAGAGCCCGAACGACTCACACCAGGAAGAAGGGCCCGAACGACTCACACCAGGACGAGAAACCCCAAACGACTCAAACCACGAGGAGCGCTTTCTCTCCCTCCTCCTCCGCCTCGTCCTTCTCCCGCTCCCCCCAAAAGGAAGATGTACAAGGAGGCGGGAGGAAGGAGGAACAGGGGAGATATGCGGGGCCAAGCGGACACACGCCTGAAAAACACGACTGTCGGCATGCTTCGCAGGAGTTGCTGCTGTGAGATGGGCTGGTGGGGATACGCGAAGCGTAAAGAATTGGAGCCTCTTCGGAGTCTCCTGGAGGTTTCCCGGAATCCTCCTGGGGTCTCTTGGGAGCCTCTTTGTGTTTTCTTTTGGGCCTCCCGGGGGCCTCTTTCGGCCTGCCCTGTTGGGCACCTATAGGCGGCCTCGGGGGTCATTTTTGGGCAGAGGGTTCCAAACAGCAGCGCGTATTACCCCTCCATCCTGGGGCCCTCCCTCTTGGGCCGTCTTCGGGTTTTCTTGGTCCATCTTGGGGCCCTCTTGAGCCGTCTAGGGGCACTCTTGAGAGCCTCATGGGCAGTCTGTGGGCGTTTTTGGAGACCTCTGGGGTTGTCTTCGACTGCGTTAAAACTAAAAAACGAATATACTAAAAAGTGCAAGTATTCCTGAGGGGATGGAGCACTCTTGCGGGTCCTCTTGGATTGGTCTTGGATCGTCGTGGACGCCTCCCCTCTAAGAGCCGCCTTGACGGCGGTCTGGGGAACCTCTTGACCCGTCTGGGAGCGTTGGAAGCCCGAAATCCGTCAAAAACGAAAGGAAAATATCTAAATTTGGCCTCTCGGAGCACTCGCCGGGCTGCTGTTTGAACCTTCTTGGGCCGTCTGGAACCTCTGGAAGCCGTCTTCAGGGCAGCTCGGGGCAGTCTTGGTCCGTCGGGACGGCTGTCTGATCGGCCTGGGACCTGTGTGGCCGCCCCCAACAGCGGGCCCTGGCCCCGAAGAGAGAGGTGCATGGGCAGGAAAAGTAAGCGCCGACGCTGCCGCCGCCAGGCACTGTGAAACTATGAAGCCACCTAGCGTCGCCAGTTCCACGGGCAGGTGGTCTCTAAAAATCTGTTCGTGCAAGCCCTTCTCGCCAAATTTTCGGGCCCCGGGCCTGCTCCCCCGGCCCCAGCGACAAGGGTCGCTGCCGCTCCACCCATTGACAGAGACAAAGAAAGCATGTGCCAATCAGGCGGCGTCCCAGGAACGGTCTCAGGTTTTTGGACCGGAGGGCACATGTAGACGTACATGAAGGTGTCTGGGGAAGCCTCTCAGAAGCCCGTTGGGGCCCTCTTGGGGGTCTCCTGGGGGCTTCCTGCGAACCTCGGGGTGCCTCTTGGAAGCCTCTTGGGGGGGCCTCTGGAAGCCCTTGGGGGCCTGCCGCGGGCGTCTTGGGGGCCTCTTTGGGCCTCTTGGGAGTCTCTTAGGGGCCTCTTGGGGGCCTCCTGGGGCGGGGGGGCTGGAAGGTTCAGTTGGGTGTCCCCTCTTGGGCCCCTCTTGGGGCCCTTCGGGGACGCGTTTGGGCCGTCCTGGGCGCCTCTTGGACTGTCCGGGGCCCCTCTGGGGCCGTCTTGGGGCTCTCTTGTGGGCTTCGTGGGCCGTCTTGGGGCGGTCTATGGAGAGTCGGAGGTCGTAAAGGACGGTACGAACGCCAAAAAATCGAATATGGTAAAAATGTACGTTTTACGACGGGCGCGGGGCTATTTTTGCTTCCCAGGGCCGTCTGGGGGGATCTCTTGGAGGTGTCTTCGAGCGTCTTGGAGGCGTCTGGGGCGGTCTGGGGCGGTTCGAGACGCCTCTTGAGCCGCCGGAGACCGCTGGAGGTTGTCTTCAGGGTGGCTGTGGGCGGCCTGAAGCCGCCTGGACGGCCGTCTGGGCGCTCCGGGGGGCGACCTGGGGCCCGCCGGGGAGCGGGCTGGGCCCGACGTCCCCCCGTTTGCGGTCGGGGCTGCGGCCCTGGGGCCCCCGGGCCCGGTGCGGCGTTATATGTATATCTCTCTCTATATATATATGTTTCCCATAGGAATGGCACGATTTTTGTTTCTTGGACCTCTCTTGGGGTGCCTCTCGGAACGTCTTGGGGTGCTTTGGGGAGCCTTTTGGCGCCTCTTGGCGGCATTTTGGCGCCTCCTGGAGCCTCTTGGGCCGGAAGCTCGGAATTCGAGGTTGGCTTTCTCCGTCTGGGACCCCTCTCGAACTCGTCTTGGGGCTCTCTTGGGCCGTCTTGGGGCCGTCCTGGGCCACTCGTGCGCAGCCTTGGAGCGCTCCCGGAGGCCTCGTAGACCGTCTTGGGCGCCTCTTGGGCTGTCTTGGACGCGGTGAAAGCCCAAGAGGCGAACATGCGAAACATATACGTTTTCCCATAGGAATGGCACGATTTTTGCTTCTTGGGCCTCTCTTGGGCTGCCTCTCGGAGCGTCTTGGAGGCTTCTGGGACCTTCTTGGTGTCATGACAGGCGTCTTGGAAGGCATCTGGAGCCATCGGAGCGCGTTCCGAAGCCGCCTGCGAACGATCTTGGACGGCGTCCGGCGGTCCGACGAGCCTCCGGGCCCTCCAGGGCCCACATTTGCGGTCGGGGTCCCGGCCCCGGGCCCCCGGACCCGGTGCGCCGTTATATGTATATACATATACATACATGTAGCTATACATATATATATATATATATATAGAGAGAGAGAGAGAGAGAGAGAGAGAGAGAGAGGCAGAGAGAGAGAGAGAGAGAGAGAAAGAGAGAAAGAGAGAGAGAGAGAGAGAAAGAGAGAGAGATGAACAGAGGGAGAGGGACAGATGGAAGAAAGGGGACGGCGCGCGAAGCAGACAGAAGGGATATAATCATGAGAACTAAGAGTTTCGCAGTGTGTGTGGGGGGAATTCGATCCTGGACCCTCCAAGCTCAGGACCCGAGACGTGGCGAGGCCTGCGCGTGGGGACCAAGCCCCAGTAGAAAGAAAGACGACGCGACTGACGAGACGGTGGCGACACGACGGTGGAGGTGGCGCAGAGAACTTCGTTACCGATCGGAAAAAACTACATAAGCGCAAACTTTTGGAAGTCCGCGCGGATTTCTGGGATCCGCGCCGGACCCCCTCCATGGCGTGCTGAGCGCGCCAGGGGCGGCGCCAGAGGCGCCGCCAGGGTGGCCCCACCGCCGATCCAAGAGAACCTCGCGGAGCTCTGACAATTTATTTATATGCAATTTTTTGTTCTTCGAACCGAAGCCGGCGCCGCCGCCGCCGATATCACCTCCTGCTACGGCTCGCGGCGCGATGGCGTCGGAGTCGGTCTTTAACACCCCGTGGATCGCTCGACCTTGACGGGCCACGGCCTTCCGATAAGGCAGACCCTGTATTATTGGCTGATTCTGGGCCACTGGCGGCGGTACTCTTTGAACGCCCACACTGGGTTGACCTCCGTGGCATTGCGGCGCGAACCTACCGGAACTTCGGAGCTTTTGCCTCGTCACCGAAGCTAACGCCGCCGTCCGCGCTCACCCGCGGCCGAAAAGTGCCGCTTTGCCCCCGACCGTCGGAGGAAACGCAGGACGGGGAAAGCGATCAAACGCAAGAGAGGAAAAGGGGGAAGGATGGTGATGAGAAGGGGTGCGGCGTGCGAGGAGGACGGGGAGGTGGAGGGAGGAGGAGGAGGAGGAGGGGAGGAGGAGGAGGGAGGAACAGGAGGAGGAGGAGGCGGTGAAGGAGGAGGAGGAGGAGGAGGAGGGAGGAGGAGGAGGAGGGAGGAGGGGGGGAGAGGAGGAGGCGGAAGAGGAGGAGGAGGAGGGG